GCCCAGAAGAACAATGAGAAATAGGCAATGGCCTACTGAGTCCTATGGAAAGAAGACTGAAGGAATTAAACATGTTTAGCTGGAGATGAAACTACAATATTAGAGATTTAAGCTGTTTTATATGATTTGAAATATAAAATAATGGAGCAAATTTGTCTTTGGTTGTTCATGCTGGCTTTTATGTCATCACCCACTTGAAATTGCAATGCTTGGGGAGTGGGAGGAGTAAGAGGATACCATTTCCTGTACAATCCAGTAACACACAACAGCCAATACATCCAAAGTTGAAGGAGCAAGTCAAACAGAATGAGGTTTTGAGATGAGCCTTAGGTTTAGTGAAATACCAGTCTTAAAGATTTAAATGAAGCCTTATGTCTCTTACTCCTTTTTAAACTCATATCTCAGAAAAGAAAGATGCTTATATTTCCAGGGAACAAGTGAACACAAAGTTACTACTAACTTTGGCTCTGGTAAACTCAAGTCATGCTATCAAACAACTGTTTCAGGAGGAGGAATGCCATTCAAGTTAACACTCTCACTTCATATAATCAGTTACAAATGTTTCCATTCTATTAAAAAAAAATCTCAGCAGCACAATCACCACACTGGATAAAATTAATGCATGATTTTTAACTTGCAGACAAATTGAAGTAAAGAATATATAACCTTATAATGGATATACAAGAAGACTGGTCAGGTTAACAGTTCAACTGTATAAATCTTAGACCAGTTGCAGGAAGCCTTTTGTTTTCATGATCTCTCAAATCACTATAAGTATCAGATGCTTCTTAGGTAATCTCCCAAGAGACTGGATAAAATGTTAGAAGCAAGAGGTCTGTTATATTAGGATTTTTAGGTGGATAACAGGCCAATAGTTCAGAGCATTAAAGACCATATATTGCATCAAAACTCCCAATTTTTCATAATAAATAAATGTAGCAAAAGCTACAATTCTTTGTTTTAGACCTTCTCCACACAATGGGAGACCTCTCTCCCCACCATCACCCTTAAATATAAAAACAAAATTATACACCTACGTTGTTGCTGTATCAACAGCCTCCCAAATTACATTTGCTCTTGCAATAGAGGATACTTTGGAACATTTCGACTGTCAGGATGCAAAAGCATACAACTATCTCAAAGAAATGAAGCAATAATTTAAATTCCTGGGCTGCAGAAACAAGCGTGCTGTCTTAAAATGGAAATGATCATAGTGTCTATGCCTTCCTTACATACATAACACCTTTCAGTATAGAGGGAGCATGAGAGAAAAGACCCTCTCATGTGCATGGGGTATATGTATGCCCTGCATTCCCCAACTAGCAGCACTTAGAATATTTGACAATTTTAATGCATGGTCAGGTTGACATGGAAATATGTTTTTATTTAAGTATGTGGGTCTAAAGCCATTTAGAATTTTAAAGAAAAGTACTAGCTCCTTGAATTAAGTTTGGAAGATAACATTTTTTTCTCTACAACCGAATGAAGAAAAGCTTAGAATCAATTCCATTTCAGAATTAGATAATAACAATAGACTCATAAAAGCCTAAATGAAGGGAACCAATTCCAAAAAAGATGAAAAAGATTTTCACATGCTTTCTATTAACCTCATTCATGGTTTATCATGCAGATTAATAAATCTAAGAGGGCTATAGGATACAGAAGAATGTGAATACAACTATTAACAAAACTTGACTTTCTGAAGATAGCTAAAAATTAATACTAGGCAATATGCAGAATTTTCATACTGAGAAATAATGTAAAAGTAATAACTGAAGAAATTTAATCTATACCAGCTATTGCAGTATAGTGAAACTCTGATTAACCAGACCTTGTTGCAATGAATGTTCTGCCCCAACAACATCATTAGTAATGGCATCTTTATGCAAATATTAAAAAATTCCTGCAGAGGAGTTCTCTCCAATTTAATGGACTTTCATAAATAATGGAACCTCTCCCTGCAATAAAGTTTTACTGTAGCTGTCATCTTTCTTGTTTTCAGACCAAATTGCTGAAAAATTTCAAGTTTAAAACATGACTACTATCCTGGGCAGAACATTCGAAAGCTTATCTTTGTTGCCAAGGAGAGGTGAATATACTTCAAAAAATGATTCAGAAGAAATGCTTCAGAACGTCTACCAGCATAGCAATTATGTGCTATATATTAAGATGGCCTATATTTTTTTCAGGCTTCCATACAAGTTTAAAAAAAAAGCTGCTTAAGAAGTCAACTTATGTAACATTTAAAGAAACTATCTTTTTTTTTCAGGTTCACACAGAAGCCTAAAAAGGCTTTAATCAAAATGAGAGAGGTCCTGTGCTTACATGATATCCAAATAATTTCTTTATAATTCTTCCAAAGTGTTACAGTCCTATTTTAAAGGCACAAGAAGAACTACTTCTTCCCTCTAGTTAGTACAACCACTATTGTATAGCTGTCTGCATCTTCCAATCTAACAGAATTGCAGAAAATCCAAAAGAATCAGATTGGCTCTTTATACTATTTGAAGTGGCAAAGAGAGGATTTATCAGGGATCAATCCAATTCCTCAGTATTCTCAACAAAGCAATGGCATGGAATATAAATAACACCATAATTATTTCAGAAATTGTTTCCATATATGACACCACCTAATTCCCCGAGGGAAAGGAAGAAGAGAATAAGATGTATTGAATAATAACAGTTTATAAAATTACCTGGCCTACATGCAGTAGTACAAATCTAGAAAGACTTCCTGAGATACAGGTTTGTTATGATAAAGACAGGAAACCAAAGAAAATATTGTATGTTTATAATATACTAAAGGCTATGATAGAGGATTTTAATTTCCCTCCTTAGAAGAATGAATGAATTCATAATCCGAATCTGAGGAAGAGTGTGCCAAGATTAAAACATCTCATCTAGGAAAAAATAAAGTATTTGCCATAATACTTTGGATATAAACCTTTAGATAAGAAACAGCATAAAGATCGATCATTTGGGAATATTAAATATATCCTCTGGAATGAAGATTGCACTAAGATGTGAATGATAGCTCTATTTACTCCAACCTTCTACTCCAACTCTAATCATTATACATAACATTTTTTGTAAAGCAAAAATGGTAGTGGGGGGTGTTGAATGGGCTGGCTTTTATAGTCTCTGAATGGAATCCGTGTTTTGTCAAATCCAATTATTTTCAAGTTCACCTCCCAATAAATTTTAATCAGACCTCATACTTCACGGAATAAATTTCCTGGATTATTCTCACAAAGGATTAAAGGAAAGCACTGAAAGTTTATACAAAATTTATAAATATATTTTTATGTCCATATAGCTTTGGACCCAATAGCCATTCATATGTTGAATCTTTCAGGCACAAGCTTTGAAAGTTTTTGTTTCACCAGTGGCACCATTTTCCTATTCTTCTTAAACTTAACGAATGCAACAACAGGGAACCCCCTGGGGGTTAGAATAGAACTTACATATTCTAATTTAAAATGAATGCAGCGTTTTCTTTATAGGAAAGTATACATAAATTCCAGATCAAAAGATTATGTCTGCAATAACATATATAGAACTTACTTCTCACAGCACATAATTTTTCAGTATCTGTCTCACAAGCTTCCAGATCCAGACATTCATCTGTTTTCTTAGATTATCTTATTGTCCATCCTTCCCCATCTTTTTTTTAGTGAGACTTAGAACTTAGTCTTCAAACTTCACACTCTTTCTGAAATCTTAATCTTGATGTAAATTACTTAGTTTACATACACTGATAATCACTTCACCAGAGAAAATTAAAATGACAAATTCATTCAGGACTACATCTCATGGATTCTTCTGTTAATATCTATCTATCTATCCATCCATCCATCCATCCACACATATCATAGTGGGACAATAATTTCTTTTCTTTCTCAATACACGCTGGAAGATTGCGCCCCAATCAAGAATTTTCAATCTCCAATATTTTTCATTTCAAAATTATTTCGTTATATTCATTTCCTTTATTCCAGAAAGCACAATTTACTATAGCTTGGTAAGTGAAAACAATATGACCTCATATTAATACAAACTAATTTCTTTAGACTCCAACACAATTTCAGACAGGGTAAAACAAAATACCCTCAATATAATTGTAAGGATATCTCATAAAAATGTGCATGAATTCTAATGTATGATATTAAAAATAATAACACAAAAATATAACTGCAAGAGAGGTAAAATACCTCAGTTAAGCTAATAACAAACATTTCCAATACACTACTAAGACCCCTACACCACACAGAATTATTAGGTGAGGCCCAGGCTACTGTGGATGCTGAAAAGAATGTATTTCCTCTTAAAATATTAAAAGTGATTTTGGGAACAATGAGATAAAGATGCAAGAATCAAGTGCTTCCCAATGGAGGGTTTCTAGTGCTATTTCTCAAAAGGCACTATGCAGCTTTTCTGTTCAACCCATGTTATCTGTAAAGAAAAATGACAGCAATCGTGGCCAAAGATTGGAGAAAGTCAAATGGAAGCCAATGTCATATTGACACATCATAAAATCCCATGCCTGAGCCAGAGCAATAAAACCTCATCTAGAAACACACAACCTGGAACTTTATTTCAATTTTGGTGCAGAAACCAGGAGAAGTGCCTCGGCTAATGAAGAGTCAGTCTATTTTGCGTAGAAAACACCGCAGACCAGACAACCCAGTGGTGCAAGGGAGAGTTTTCAAATCCCCTTGACCAGAGATCAGCTTCTGCCTGCCCTCACGAGGCTCTTCCAGGCCAACTTCTTCTAGGACCCCAAATGCTACCCTCTATGCTCCCCAATACCTGGGCGTTCACTCCCACCTGACACCCCGGGAGACCCTCTTAGCCTACGCACATCTCCCTTCCCCACCCTCTTCTCAGCTGCCGCCTTCTCAGCCCCACTGCGGACACCCCACCCACTCAACCCACCGAGCCGCGTGTGCAGATGAGATGCAAATGAGGCTCGGGCGGCAGCGGCATCGAAGCTTCGTTACCTTGGTCTCTTTGACGTGTTGCTTGATGCCCTCCGGGTACCACTGGACTCGCACGTACCCGCGGCGGAGAGGGCTCCCGCGGTTCTCCTCGCCTCCGCCCGGGC